GTCTGTGTGTACGGCTTGTCCAATAATGAGCATGTCATGTTTGCGTGTGTAGAGAAGAAAAGTGGAGTTGATTCTTATTGCTTTAGAATGAGTGAATTAATGATAATTATAATTGCTATAATTATTTTATTATAATTCTTTTTGACACTATAATTAGTTTTTTATAGACACGAGAGTATTTTTATAGAATTAATGGATTTTTATTTTCGTTTTTAATGTAAATGAATTTTTATAGAATTAATTTTATTTTTGTGATAGAGTGCACATTTCCTTTCTTAAGTTTTCTTGGTAAACGAAATAAATAGTTTAAAATAAACGGAACGTCTACTCAAATACGTGTATCCACTAAAAATAATGTTAGAAGTAATAAAACGTATTTTTATATAACTAATAAATAATTAATAAAAGAGAGAAAATAGTCTAGCGTGTACACAACTGAAAGCGAAAGGAAAACATTCACAGGGTTAGCGGTAGTGTGTGTGTGTGTGTGTGTGTGTGTGTGTGTGTGTGTGTGTGTGTGTGTGTGTGTGTGTTCTTGCGTGCGTGTGTGTGCATGTGTGTGTGTACGGGAAATGCATCACATGGACAGATGACTAAGTATTTTTAGACAAGTCTTCGACCTACCACACTCTAGAAGGAAAATAGTAAAAAGAGGAAGATTATATGCGAGTTTTTTTATATTCCTGAAGCAGTGCCACCTAACAGGCGTCTTTGCAGTCCAAGCGGAGGTAATCCTCATAATGCCATAGAAAAATCACGGGGTATAAGAATTTTCAACCAAATGCTTTCGGTTTTGAGTAAATTCAAAATGTTTTCGAGATTGTATCCCGTAAAAACAGATAAATACGAGTTTTTGCAGGGTGTTATAGTCAGTCAACTCAGAATGTTAACCCATCTACTTAAATCTACGACAAGCGACACCGTTTTCTCAAAGAGATAAATAAAGATTCTAAAGAAAAGATTCACCGATAGCTGAAACTATTGGGTTGGTGCATAATTACCAGGCGATATTTAAACAATATGAAAAAAGAAACGTAACAATTCAACAATAACATTTTTAAATGATTATTCCGGAGCGTATGATTATCGACACGCATTTTTATAACCTAAACATAAATGGATATTTTTATTAAAAAAAGCAAACAAAACAGCAATTTTGATAAACAAATAACTCGCTTACAAAAACGTCTGATAATTATACACCAACCCAATATATGCCAGCATTTCGAAGGTAATACAAATACAATTTTCTCGTTGAAACTGATTATTGACATTTACTAAATTGTAGGAGGTTTCTCTACCTCAGGTAGATGTCTAATTTTACATGCATTTCAAATAAGAACATTACTATGAAAAGATACATCCACTTACCGTTTTCTTGTGTATAATACGATTCTGTGTTTCAGAAAACAGGATATAAATTACATCCTTGAGTATAATACGACCCCTGAGTCAGTAGAGTGCAGAGGTCGGGTAGAGGGTGCAATGGTCCCGGGTATATATATCGAGAGGTCATCCAATCGAAGAGTGAAATAAAAAGCTAGTTTATATTTAATTTGAATAAAGTGTTTGCCGTTGATCACCCCGCCCCCACCGGGTCGATGCTTGGACTTAAGGTAAGCTGTACATTCACTTGTTATCATGAGGAAGAAAGCGGACTAACACTCGCTGTCACGTATGTTGGGGCATTTATTATGACATGGCATTAAATCCGGATAACCTTATTTTCTTCAATTTCTTTTTAGAATAGACAATGGGACTTATACTAAGTTAAAACTTAACTTAATGTTGCGAAAGGGTAAATGATAGTCAGCCAGGACTCTTTGCAAATTACCTCCCCCTCTCATCGTTACCTCTGTTTTTGTTGTTGTTGTATGTGTTATGTAATAGGAGTAGGTAGGCTTTCCTACCGCCCGGTCAACACTCCTCCCCCTTCTGTTGGACATGAGTAGAGGCTTACGCCTTGTTTCTTGTTTAGGAAGGGGTTTCTGGTACTCTCTCTCTCTCTCTCACTGGCCTCTGTATCTCCAGTTGCCTTGATCTATCCACTACCCTTCTCCTCATCCTTTCTTCTATCACTCCTATCTGATCTTGCTCCAAATTTTCTGTAACCCCTTGCGTCCTAGTGGCTTTCCGCCTTGCTTGGGGTGAAACGCTTAGAAAAAAAAAAATTCATGTTTCACCTGTTTTTACATATTTAAAATGTGTTTCTTTCTCACATTTCTTAGTACCAGGTCTTAGAGGCCCCCGTCGCCTATTTGATTCTTAGATGCATACAATCAAGAAGTTGTCCTAGGGCATCACCAAATGCCACCAAGGCTCTGCACCATGTGCAGCAATCTATATGTACATTTTTTGAAAGGTTCTATCATATTATCCATTAAAATCTCAATGTCGTACATATATTTCATTTAAATATTTAATTTTTCACGATATTAAAGAATAGAAATGAACCGGATTGTGTGTTTCGTCTAATTTCTGTTTTCAAACATATTTTCCATGAAAGATGCTAATTAGACATACATAGCAATCCATTTTAAGATGTTATTTAATCGATCATACTTTTCTGTTAATGAACGCATGTCCCACTCCAGGAGTCTCAGTGCCTTGAGAGGATATTGGGCCTCAAACTCACACTGGACCTCAAGTGAAACTCTTATATACTATCCATCGGTAAAGATGCAGGTAAAATGATCGACTTCCCGTATCGCTTCAGTAAGTACCTGACTCCTCATGCTATCTTATACCTTTCTAAGAACCAGATCAGGTCGAAAATGGAGTAATGATACCATATTTGGGCAAGAGCTGCCCAGTTCTCACTTTCCTGCCTTGATACAGTTCTGAAGCGTCTTCGAGTTCTTATTGTAGAAGAATTATTTTCCACCCCCCTCTCTCTCTCTCTCTCACACACACACACACACACAGGCGGGATGTGATGTGATGTGTCTCTCACTGCTCTATATCTACTTCCATGGAAAGTGTTCGTACGAACTACATTCCTTGGTTCCGTCAGGTCTAATCTTCACGGCTAGGACCCACCATGCCCCTTACAAACCACCCACATTCCCTCCGTATTCCATCGGCAAGAAGTTTCATTCAAACAGTTTCTACCCGCAAACCACTGCCCTGTGGAACAGATTCCCAAGATAATATTTACCCGATCACTACAATCTTAACCTGTTCAAGTCTAGATTTGACCGTTATCTTTTCCTATCCATATATAAACTACACCTTAACGTAACCCTCTAACCTCCAGTGCCCCCCCCCCGGGTTTTGTACAGGATGAACCTTACTGTAAAAAAAATTATATTTCTATATATTATTAAACTATTAAAATAAAAAATAGTGTCTATCGTTAAGAATGAAGAAAAAATTTACAAACAAAAAAAACAATAAAATCAAAATATAAAGAAACTTTATTTTCTGAGCAAAACTGAGTGCTTTTGTAATCATGATACTTCAAATGAGGTTTTAGCCGAATAAAGATTTCTGAAAACGCTTGTGTATAATACTTTTGCCTTTAATTTTAGTTCAAAATTTCTCGTATAATGCACAAAAACATACATTACTTTTTTACATTTATTAAAATCTATAACCTTTCTCTATATCTTAGAAACATAGCAATTTCTATGAACATTTCAAATAAGAACACTGTTTTACTATGAAAAGACACAAGCACAAAATCAGCTTACACACACCTTTACATACAAAAACTATTGTAAAGCTGTAAATTGCAGTTATGAAATTTTCCCACAAATATTGAAAGTTTATTTACTATATTAATTGTGACGATGAACAATTAATAATACCAATATGAATTCTCTACCAATATATTGCATGGTTTTTCTTATCCAATATTTACAGGAGAGTTTCCAAGAAAGCCTTCAACCGATGATGATTCGGACAGGAAATCATTGCCTCTAATTTATAGCAGCTGACTACAGTACCAGACTTTATTGATTGGAACCTCTTACTGACTGTGAATGCGCCAACGAAACGCAGGCAGCTTCACTCTTATTCTGGACACTTCCATTTCCACATGTGATATTTTTACGTGCTTAATTGTGTTAGTTGTTTCCAGGCTGGAGCTTCAATATTATTGCTAATAATAGCTTTTGTAACTTTGGTTTCTGGTCTATAATTTCTTCTCTCTCGACTTTTATTTTTTGCAAAATGTTTCATAATACCATTCTGCTGAAAATTGTTCCAAATTTTGAGTTGTTCTCAATTTCTTTCTAAACAGCCGATCTTTCTAGACGCCATTTTTCTGTTACTGATAGCCATTCATACATTTAAAATGTTTTGTACTTTGAACGGACCCAGACGTGTCCTTGCATACAGATCGTGGCTTTGTGGGTGAGGCTCAGAAACATTGAGTTGCACTATTCCCCTGACGATGCATTTGTCCCATTCCTCAGCCTTCGTTGGTCTAAAGTGGCGGTTTACAAGTAAAGAGGGTTTGGGGAAAATTGAAAACTAATGCTTTGTCAGAGACGGAATTCTTTTAATTAAAATAATATTCCTGGAGAAGTTGAAATTACAATGTGGTCTTTGGTTACATCACAATTACTCAACAGTAAGACCTTTCGAATTAAGAGAAAAAAAAATTATTAAAAATTACAGAATTAAATTTGTCAAGGCACAAATACAATTTTTTCGGAATCTTGACTTTCCAGTCAAATTCCTTTGAATGAACAAATGCTTGAAAATCAAATTGTTTTTTTATTGGTTAGTCTTCTACGGCTCATTAACCATTTGTAGATTATTTAAAGCCAGAAAATGTTTTTATATTGCAAGAATTTTTTTGAGATAATGATTTAGTGATACAAGTCTTACTAATTGACCCATAGCTAGGGGGGAAAGGGGTGAATTCATACCTTTCTCAATGGTATTTGCGCGTAAATGAATAAAACGAATTCAACTGGAATTGGAACTCGGCTCTCCGATTAACAATTCCGAGCCATTATTCATTACACCACCCACACATCCAAACTTACAGCAATCACTCATCTATGTACTGACCAGGCTCGACATGGCTTAACTTCGGCGAACGTATGGGAACCGGTGTTCCAACGTGATATGTCCGTAAGCCCGAAACTGTAATTAGCAATAATACAGTAGGTACAGCTATAACACAAACACTATTCATTGTTTTACAATCACTCCTTGATTTTGAAGGCATAAACACCTCGCAACATTCCTGTTAGAGATGGTGGATAAAATATGTTATATAGGAATAAATTGTCGCTTCCGACACTTGAGTTTGAACATAGATCGTCAGTGAGCGAACACAGGCGATTCCATTATTGAATTGGATCACGTGACCATAGAGGAAACGCATATATAGGAAGTCGCGTGACGCCTAGATTAATCGCGCTATTTCTACTCTATCCTCTATTACTATACGGACCGCTGTTCTCTATACTATTTCACTATACGGATTACTATTCGAGCGAGTATTATCGAGCAAGTACTGTTAGTGCGAGTGCTATTGGAAGGCGTCTGACACCAGCATTGTTCAACGGCGTTACTATAGTTGTACCTGCGATTACAAAGGCTCAACTACAACGAGCATTACAAAAGTAAGAACGTGTATTCGTTGACATCACAAAAGTGGCAACAAATGTTCGCTGACATCACAAAAAATAAAATATTTGCAGGAGGAATAAGTTCAAACAAATAAAAACAACTTATCAGAAACATCCGAATAACAAAATTATAACTATGTGTAGAAAAAGCACACTGTAAATGTTGACATTAAGTACTACAGTACTTTATTTAAACAAGTCACATATCTAAAGGTATCCTCGAATACGAGTGGCCATATATATATATATATATATATATATATATAATGAGTACAGAATTTGTACTCATTATTATATTGGTCTGTTCTTACATTGAACTCTCTTTGGATTATTAGCCTCCTTGGAATAATCCCTACTAATTATCAAGTGTCAATGAGATATTGTGCTCCTGTGTTCATCTGAAAGTTTTTTATATATATATATATATATATATATATATATATATAATGGTGGTAATACGCTCCTTAGCGACACAATCACCTTCCTTCAAAGTAAATGTCTTTTTTGTTTTTTGTTTTTTTTTAACACCTTTCTTCATGTATATTGTTCACTTTCATTTATTGACTGAATAACACCCATATGATAACACCATACGTTTGGTGCCATATTTGACTAGAATAATCTCTCCAACTTGTGTGACCCTTCCCTTCTCATCATGAAATGAAATATCTTTGCAAAAATCAATATTACTATTTTCATGTTGTCCATAAGTTATCTTCCTTAGCACTTCCGAGACATTTTTGTACTGAGAATTGTAGTAAAATTCAACAAAATTCTCATTGATTCTTTTCACCTGGTGAACTTTAAGTGTCCCCTTTATGTAAATAATCTCGCCAACATCTGGATATTGGACATCAGATTTATCAATGTATAACGATTGACATTGCCAACTTGGTTGGCATATTCTTCAAAATGGTGTGCATTTTGAATAACTACCTTAGTAGCTTTTACATCAAAAAATACTTTACGTTTGGCTGCACCACCGATGCCATCTTGTAGCCCTTTAAAATGTTGAGCATCACAATTATTCCCTGTTATTTCTAAATTTACGGAAAAAAAAATTAAGCGAAAGATATATCGTGATCTGAATTGGGAAAAAGCATCCGTCACTCCAAAAATACAGTTTTCTTAGTCCAGGTTTAATAGTCTTCATGAATCCTGTAAGTTGAGTATTGCAACAAAAAGCTGTGTTCTATTCAAGGAGTGATTGTTTCAAGGAAATAATAGCAATGAAACTGATGAATAAATTTGACTGAAAACGAATAACATTTTTGCTCTTGTATATAAATGCTTGTTACAGAATAAAATCCTTGTATTTACCTTGATAGTCCCCCGGAGGACGAAAGCTAAGTTTCCCTTCTGTCTTTATATATATATATATATATATATATATATATATATATATATATGTGTGTGTGTGTGTGTGTGTGTGTGTGGTCACGTGACCGAGTTCTGACCATGAAACCCGGGTTCGAATCTCACCACGGTCAATTTTCCAGAAAGGAGACATCCAGATGTTATTGGATTTGACGGGTCTATCCCAGCGTGCGGTACCTTTGGAAAGTACCTCAAGACCATACCACGAGTTGACCCAAGCCTTGTCAGTGAAATTGGGTAGACGTCGATAGCTGTGCTAGCATGAAGTCACAAGTCATCGTGGCTGAGGGCTTGAGCGTGCTGGCGTTGTTCAAATTGTTGATCACGCTAGATAACACGCTCTTTCCCTCAAACTGTAACTAAGGTCTGCTCAGCATAGTTGCAGTATAAACTACAAGTGGGCTCTGTGGGTGTTGAATAAACACAAATGCGCCTGAGCAAGCATCTGCAAAAGGGATTGGTTAGCCGCCCTAGTAGACGAGTATCCTCGAATACGAGTGGCCAGCTATATATATATATATATATATATATAGGTCTGTTCTTACATTGAACTCTCTTTGGATTAATAGCCTCCTTGGAATCATCCCTACTAATTATCAATTGATATTGTATATATATATATATATGTGTGTGTGTGTGTGTGTGTGTGTGTGTGTGTGTGTGTGTGCGTGCCACATGCGTCTTCGTATTAGCAGGAGTATATCCTCTAACATGTCTGTAAGTGTGTTCGAAATAAAGTCCCTGTAGACATCTCCTGTATGACGTACTGGGAGAACACATGGACCTACCAGACAGCCACCTACAATTCCAGCCTTCACATTAATTGTAATCTGATGTTGGTGTCTAGCCTCTATTGTACCATGGGAATTCCGATACGCCCACAAATTTTGATTGTGTAAATTTGTTATTCCATCAATGTTTCCTCACCCATAAACAAGACAGAAGAGACAAACAATGTAATGTAACGTCCACGGGGTGTCGAACCTGCTCAACAGCAACCAAATATGTACCCCTGTCGTCGGTCCTCAAGTTACTTCAGACCGCTGTGGTTACCATTTAGCTGACTCTTTACTCGTTAGCGCATGACTCGTTTTGTTTCTGGTATCGTGTTGGTGGCACGATTCCATTCGTCTTAACTGGGCTTTGTCTGTTCACGGCCATTCATTCCTCTGACACGTCATGTTTTTGATCTCAGAGTGTGAGAAGATCGCTGATGAAGCAAACTTGACAATTTGGTGCTACATACAAAAAAATCAAGAATCCTTTGGAATAAAGAATTAACTCTGGTTAAAAATGTAACAACGATTTGGTTTATATATGATTTTTTTTATATACAGCGGTTTTAACCCTTCCCACTTAATATTATAATCAAATGACACTGGGATTCCCTTCGGACTCTGCAGCTTTTTTTTTTAGTAGTAACTTAAATTTCTAAGTTCTGGTCTTCACGTCTGGAACAAGGCCTTTGGGTCTTGGCGAACGGTACGGATTCCGGTGTGTCTCTTCTGTTCTTCTCCAATCCTAACTGTTTCCGAGTCCATAGTCTCTAACTTATATCTAGACCTGCGTCCGGCAGGGTTGGGTTGACTAGGGCCTGAGTTCAGTTGTCTTACACCTTTACTATGAACCTTTTCTAAATTTCTATATATAAAATACATCTGCTCGTGGTTTTCCAAATTTCGGTTGTTTTGAGAATGGTCAGAGGAATCAAGTCCCCCTCCCCAATTCTACTCTCTCTACACTTTGCCTCGTACCATCACTTCTATATAAGTGGTGCTAATCTCTCTTTCTCCCTCTTTTCTCACTTTGTCAACGGTCAACCTCAGCCCACTTCCAGATGATGCAGCGAAAACAAAAGGGATTTTCAGTCAGTAATCTTTCTTTATCAGCTTGTCCATTGCTGTGATTTATGCATCGACCAGACCACTCAAGAATTGGAAAGGAAATTTCCAATCTCCTTAAAAACAAAGGTTTATTTTTCCTCTGTGTTTATCCATCTGTTTTACGATCAACTAGTAGCAATGCCTCAGAAACCAGGCTCAAACGAATGTGGACTCCACCGAACAATCAGCCTAATGAGCCACATAACAAAACTAATCATCCGTACTCTGATGAATAGAGCGCGTTGCAGAATCAGGCTAGAGATAGGACAAGAACAGTGCGGGTTCATTAAAGACACCGGAACAAGGAACGTGATATTCATGCTCAGAATGTTATCCGAAGAGCAATACAGATGCAGAAGGACGTGTACCTATGTTTCATAGTCTATGCAAAGGCCTTCGACAAAGTACGCCACAAGGATCTGTTGGAACCTCGATATATTCGGGAAAGATATTAGAATAATCAAGAACCTATACTGACAGCAAACATAGGGAGCTAGTTCAGCGAATATACAAAAATAAAAAGGTTGCGTAAGGCAAGGATGTCTTCACCCCAGACCTATTCAACCTATACAGCGAGGCAATTCTGATAGAATTGGAAATCCTACCGGCATTCAGCATTGGCGGCCACAATCTTAACAACTTAAGATACGCAGATGACACAAAATTGATAGCAGACACGGAAGAGAAATTACAAAATCTCCTACAGAAAGTAGTGAAAGAGAGTGAGAAGAAGGGACTAAGCATAAACTGCAAGAAGACAGAATGCAAGGTCATCAGTAAAAGGATGAGCGCGAAATGCAATTTACAAGTCGGGGACACTAAAATCAAGAAGGTGCAGAAGTTAAAACATCTGGGAAGTGTTTTGACAGAGGACGATAAGTGCGGCAGTGAGATCCGTAGATGTATTGGGATGGCTAAGGACGCATTCCTTAAAAGCTGGTCAGAGTATTGCGAGGATTTCTTTGGTGACAAAGAAAAGAGTACTGAGCTGGTATGTTACATCTGTCCTCCTTTACGACAGCAAATGTTGGACGGTCTCCTCAAAGATGAAGAAGAGACTTGAGGCGACGGAAATGTGTTTCTACAGAAGGATGCCGAGGATATCATGGACCGAGCGTGTGAGTAACGATGAGGTTTTGGAAAGGATGCAAACAAGGAGGAGGCTTATACTTAACATCAGGAAGAAGCAGCTGAAATTTCTGGGACTCGTAATAAGAAAGGAGGGCTTGGAGAATCTGATA